CCAGTCGACCCAGAAATCACTCGGCCAGCCTCCCGTTCATAAACCCAAAACACTCTGACATGTCAGGCCTCCTAAATTATACACATAAAAATGACGTGACGACCAGAAGGTTCTGCCTCCAAACAGGTCAGGGTTCTTTTAAATACGGTTTAAAGTTTCCAAGCAGCAGCTGTTTGATAAATTCTGGTCTGTTAAAATTTAAAAAGATAAAAAAAGTTGTATGGGCTTCCCCTGCTTCCTGGAAAAGGAGGGAATCACCATGGCAACCGGTGACTCAGCATTTTCTGCCTCTTCTATTCAGGGATAAAATTCCATAATGGCCGCCCTCATAAATATTTATAGCATCTGAAATAACCCCACATCTGATTAGGAAAAAACTTCAAAATAAGAGCCTGTCTCTGTCATCAGCTAATTAAATTGGTGTCAAGTTCCAAAAGGGTCAAAAAATAAAGCTGAGTTAACATTTTCTCATTTCGTTTTCCTGTCAAATTCATCTGCTATTCCTATCTTTTTTTATTTTCTCTCGTCTTCTCTGACCCAGAATGTGGCCTTTAGAGTATAAATAACCTCATAGAAGTAATTATCCAATCTGCTGGTAATTGGAGGCTTCGCCCCATTTTCTGATAATACAGCCGATCTATTTGCATCCTGTTATTTTTAATATAATCCACTTACATCACACCCACTGTAATTTAAAGACATCGGTAGAGAAACACTTAATGTAAGGACCATAAAAGCCCAATTATTTAAGCCAATTAATTGAATTATTGGGAACACTGAGTGAGCTGCCAGAAACAGCCACACATCTAAATGTAAATTTGGCTCCAGCAGTAATCCAGCAGCCATTACGTTCCCTCAGTATTGACGGCTGTGGACAGAAGAGCTGAACCGACTGAACTGAAGCTGGTGCTGATGATGTGCTGTTGTCAAGGTAACAGCAGGCTCCTCCAGGTGAGAAACGGTCCCAAAAAATGTCTACTTTTTTCAATTCATTTAAAAATTGAGGGGAATCTTCCTGCTAGTTAGGAAGATGAGCTGCAGGTGGATGTGAAGAGTCGTTTCTTTGCATTGAGTTGAGGATTAATTATAAAGGGAGCTTATTTAAAGCATTTATTCCTGTTTATTTTTACGATAACACATCAAACCAATAAAAAAATCAGAACGTATTGAAGGAAAGTGAAGTGGAAGAAAAAAGTCCAACTGTTGCATCCTTTGTGTTTCTAGTCATTCCTGAATCAGAGATGTTAGAAGCATCCAGAGTCTGGATACAGACTCCAGTTGTTCTGGTCATGTTGTGTCGTACAGATTCTTTATTATTCTTCACAAGGAGCATCAGCCACAGAAAGACATTCCTAAAGACACTGAGCGCCCTGTGTTTGTTTCAGTAAACCGGATGATGCTGCAGTATTTAGTCTGTTCCAGCTCTTTCTGCTGCCCGTGTGTTTACTGTGAGGAAACCTCACTTCATTAAGTCTGAGTAATTCTTCATTGGGAACCACTTCTCTCCCTAATTCCAGTATTTGCTTATCAGTCGCCATGTTTGCATGGATGGACTTCCTCTGTGCAGGTACTGCTCCCTGATTGGTCGACAGGCCCGCACCTGTGAGGTCGATCAGGTTTGTCTGTCGGCTTTTATCAGCTGTGGAAGGAAAAATGTCATCGCTGTCAGAAGAACGGAGCGGAAATGGAGAGCAGGTCAGATTTACAGATCTGGGTCTGATTCAGAGATCGCATCATCGCCGCAACTTTGAACTTTCTCTGCACTGGGCCTGAAATTAAGAGGGGATCATAGGAGTGCATTTCTGTATCACTCTGTTGTATTGAAAATAAAAGAAGTCCTGAAACTGCGTTGTTGTGGGAATGAAAGCAGTTCTCCTTGTCTGGCAGTCGGATTTGTGCAGGAGGAAACAAGAGAAGCAGCTTTTAGAGTCCAGTCTGGCTGAATCGTGTTGCTTCTGAACAAACCTTACCCCCCACAGAGAGGCTGAACTGGGAACGGAGGGGAAACGGAGAAACAGGAATGTGAATCGTTGCTCCTCTGAGTTTTTTACTGTAAGAAAAGAGTGAATCAGTTTCAGGTGAGCTGAAGGCTCTGATTGCGGCTCTGCAGGTTTCTGTTGCTCAAACATTAGTGAGTCAGATGTTTAGTGTTAGTGCTCATAGCGCCACCTAGTGCTACGTTTTAGTGATCCAGACGCTTCTCCTCTGGATGTGTTGTTAAATTGGGAGCATCTGTTTTTGCCCCCCAACTATTTACACCATTGGTTTTGGAAGAAATTCCTCCATTATATTTTTTAAGCAAAACATAAAACCAGCTATTAAACCAAACCCCCCACAGGAACATTTTGTTTCCACTGAAACCACATTGTTAAAGCGATAAAAATGCCACACAATAACATGGCAAATTACCATGAACTACTCGCACATGAACACAGTGGTGGTGGCATCATGCATGACAGTCAGAGCTCATGTTCTGATGGAGCCTAAAGCACCAACCCAACCTGCTGTCCACACCTTGTGAATCTCTCCCTTTCTTCAATACTTTTCCTTCCACTCAACTTTCTGTTGTTAGACGCAGGCGCAGCTTCTTCAGCTGTAACCTGTTGTGACTGCAGGTGTCAGTGACTCTCTGGTAGAGAACGGAAAAGTCACCAATGATCCTTGTGACATAACATTTCCCCGTTAAAAGGCAGAGTTTGTTTTCAGTGTTCAGCTCTGAGGACTGTTTTGATTTGGAAACTTTTTTTTGGAAAGTTCATTTATTGTGATGCATTTTTATGTCTTGGCCAAAAGTTAGTTGATGCAATGCTTGTTGTAGTTTGATGCACCTTTACCTGGACATTCAGCCTAACAGACCATGATGTTAAAAGCTAATAATTGTGAAAGTTTGAGGTGACTGATTGTCCAGATGACCCAACATGCCTCACTGTGAGGAACAGCAGCTGTGAAGATGTGAAGCTCTCCAGCGGAGCTTCTGTCAGCAGGATTTGAACCCGGTTTCCTGAAGTGAAGCTGCACAGCGTGAATGTTTCTGAAAATGTGGCCCCAGACAGATTATCTTGTACAAGGTTGGTTGTGGGTTCAGACGTGCAGAGAGAGAAATGACACACACTCCGTGCCGTTTCTGACGTTTTCAGTGCGTTGGCTGTGGTTTGGCTGCATCCAGGGTCGGGCCTCCGATGAACAGACTCCATTGTTGCTCCCCATGAGAAAGGCAAACCATTCTTTCCACTTTCCATTTCAGCTCTTGTGTCTATTTTTTTGTTTCATGTTGGGGAGCTCTCCCCTTTTTTCCAGCAGTTTTAGAAAACCATAAAGGCCAACATGTTTTTCATTAGTGTTCTTGAGAAACCAGCCATTGGTGGGTTGGTGTTGGTTTCACTGGGAGTAAAACTCCACTGTTTAGAGGGAACTAAACATCCGAGAGTAGTAACTGTTATTTTTGATTAATGACTAAAGCTGTTTCTACATTATTGTTAATTATAGGGGTGTAACCTAACATAAAAAGCAGGGTTTGGTTCGCTTCAATAAATTAACATTGGACACTATAAAACTAAACTAACTGGATTAATTTTCTTTAATTAATGACAGATTGGTGGGTGTAGCCAACGGACTGATGGTTAGAATAAACATCATTATATTTACATTGAACATGTTGTTGATCAGGATTTGTTGATTAAGAAAGACTGCAGACATTTCAATCTGGAAAGACTCAGATGGAGAAAAAGAAAAAATTAAAAGATTTAACGACAGGAATGAGTAACAGTTCTTTGGCGCTCGGGTCCCGGCAGCTGATCTGAGCTGAGATTTGATGTGAACTCGATGAACATCCCGATAACCGATTAGGGATGCTCTCCCCTGAGACCCGATACTGGTGGTGCAGGTCGGGAAGGGTTCCATCCTGGAGAGCCGAAGGTTGTGGGTGGAGAAGGTGGGGTGGTGGGTTGAACGCAGCAGCTTGGGTGTGGATCCTTTTATGCAGAGCTTGACTGATGATTGGACGCGCCGGGTGACGTCCAGCGCTGATGTCGGAGATGAGCATGACGCCTATGGGCGAACGGAGGGGGCGGAGTCTTCCAGCTTGAACTTTCGCTATTAGCTCCATTTGTGAGTGAAAAGTTTTAAAATGGTTGGCTGATGCTTTGACATAATCCAAGTTACCAGATGTACCTGTGAGCTTCATTAAAGTGCAGCTGCTGAGAAATCCTGTCTGACCAGAGAGACTCCTCACCAGTTTCTGTCTTGGTTGTCCTCTTCCATTTATTGACATGTGAATTTGTATATTATCTAAATAGTTAGTTTTGCCTTTATAATTTGCCTTTATTCACACGGTGGAAACCATCTCAGTCTTTTCCCTGTTGAGAAACGTCAACATGTCTATGAACTGCAGTAAATATGTGGCGTCATGGCAAATGGAAATAATAAAGACTTCTGCTTCTATCCCAAATCCAATCCCCCTGGATTATTTTTGTTGCTCTTCTCCGTTCAGAGATTATAGCGCTGGGGAACAAAAAATATGTTTGGAAGTTGTCTATGTTTTATTTTTTATCTGTATTATGACTATTTTGCACCACTGAATCCAAAAATTACATCTGTTTTTCTCAGTCAGGTCAGGTTTTTATTCTAATTTGATTTGGAGAAATCTAATCTTCTGAGTAAATTTATTACATTTTTGTAACATTATCAGTTCATTTCCGTTAATATTTCTCATCCAAAAAAGGTTTTAGGAGAAAAAAGATATTTTCTAGCAAACTATATTAATTAAATGTTATTTCTGTAAATTGACTAATAAACACTGATACTGGTACATGTGAATTGAACATTACGACTTCATTGTGAAAATCCCCCCGTCTCTTTCCTGTCCGGATGGAGTCTGTCCTCCTGCTCGTCACTCATTGATCAGATTGTCAGGAAACTGAACCAACGTGAGAACAAGTCCTGCATTTTGATGCTTATGTTGCTCCATAGTTCAGAAAGTTGACCTGATGGAGGAAAACCAATGTGATTTTTGGATTCAGCTCATCAAAATTACCCTAAAACAGTTGAAAAACCACAGACATTTTTTGGCTGTTGATCTGTGTAATCAATCTTCTATCGATTGATTATATAACTTCTCTTTGGCTGCTGAACTTTTTTTAACAGAACAACATCTCCCAGTGTGGGCGCGTTTTCTCCTGATTGTAGGAAAAAACTTCTAAACAATCTTTCTTGAGTTTCTTGCTCAACTCTTGAGAAAATACTTCGTTTGTTGCATGGATCTATGAAGTCCTTCTTGGAAACTTTTCTTCATTCACTCCCTTTGCTGCTGATCCAGCCTGATAACTTTACCTAACTGAAGTCGGTGTTTGCCTCGTCTCTCGTTGTTGTTCTGGTCTCCTTTCCGTCCCGTCTTCCTTTGTCCTGTCCTATTGTTATCAGTCATGTAACTGGAGGTTTGACTCACTGGCTTTATCCCACCATCTGCTCCAGTTCTGGGCTGCAGCTCCATAAACTGTAACGTGGTGCTGACTGAGGCCCAGGGCGACTTCACGTCACCCTGCTACCCCCAGAAATACCCCAACTCTCACACCTGTAAGTGGACCATGCAAGCGCCGACCGGCTTCATCATCCAACTCTCCTTCTTGGACTTTGAATTGGAAGAGGCACAGGACTGCATGTATGACCGGGTCGTGGTGAACACCGGTAGCACTGAGTCAAAGTTTTGTGGTCTGACGGCCCGAGGTTTGACACTAAACTCAACAAGGAACGTGATGGAGGTTTCTTTCATCTCTGACTTCAGCATACAGAAGAAGGGCTTCACGGTTAGCTTCCAACACGGTAGGTTCTAGCTATGACTTGCAAACTAATCCAGGTGGAAAAGCCCCTCATGCATCAGACAGGAGCTGTAGGATTGGTTGATATGTTGATTTCTTTAAGATGCCTCATAGGAGGTTTGTTTTCAGCCACTATCATAAGAGTTGACTGGCAGATAACCACATAAAAATGTTCATCAACTGATATGGCCAGATTATGATGTACTTTGTTGAGGTTGATGTGTTAAGTCTTTAGTTGTTTATTGATCCCATTTTTATGCATGTTTGAATAAGTTTAAAACAATCAGCATTTTACTGTCTTTGCTTTCTGTCTCTGCTTCTTCCATCTCTCCCTCCAGTCGCAGTGGCTTTGAGGAACCAAAAGGTGAAAATCCCAAATGGTAACGGACAAATCGCAGAGGTCATCAACTCCGTTTCCATACCGGCGCTCAATGAATTGACCATATGCTTTGAGGTGGAAAGAACAGGCTCCAGACAGGTGCTGGTTTAAAAGTTTTTTCCTGCATTTTCACCATTTTGATGTTTTAAGTGTGTGGGGATACGTCAACATCAAACCTCCATCCCTGTGTCTCCTGCTCTGCTGTAACCAGATGTCATAAAGAGAGCACCATGCCTCTGCAGACAGACTCCTGCTTGGACGACAACTTTATGATTTCCATCCAGTCGTTTTTAGCATCTCTACATGTTTTGCAAAGAATTGCACAAATGTATATAATTCCTCTTTTACCAAGATGAAACTAATTTTTGTCGTGTCTACATCAATGAAAGACAATTCTGACACTTCAGATGAAGTAAGGCAGAGCCTTTACTCAATCATTTCCTGCCATATGGGTAGATGAAGTCAGTGACATTTAGGGCAGATGTGGCTCAGGAGACATGAGGTACATCTTGTATCCAGTGGTTTGTCTATTCAAAATTCCCATTTGCTGTGGTTATAATAACCAAGGCTTCCAGTAATATTACAGAATCCCTGAGCTGGTTCTTTCTTGGGAATCATTATTCATCAACAGCTGATTAAATGGGCAAGACATCATGAAAGGAGACCTTTGTCAAGTTGTGCTTTTAAACTGTCTTATTCCTGTGTTGCTTTCAACTTACTCCCAGTTCTTCTGGTTCCTGAACAGAAAGAATGGCTCTTCACCTACTACGACATCAACAACAACGTGGCGTTAAGCTTTGGCTACAATCAGACGGGCATGGAAATGGTTATTGACGGAGTGGTCTGCCCAGTAGAGTCGATCATCTCTGTGGCTGAGTTCACCTCTTCCATGAAGTTCTTCTGTGTCCTCTGGATGTCCTCCAACAGTCGTGTGGCTGCTTACTTCAATAGGCGCTACTATGGGAAGAGCTGCTCGCCATCTAGTGGCCACTCTGTGCCAGCTGGAGGAGTCTTCAAATTAGGAGGTAAGGGGCCTTTACTTGTTAATCTAACAGTCTCTATGCAGTAATTAGCATGGTGGACTTCTTGGTCAAAATGACAGAGTCTGTAGTAACACTTGATAAATCTGATGAAAAAGTTAATAAAATCAAAATCCTTGTAAAAGATTCCAGATGATTCAATTAGAAAAGACTGATAAACTGGCTCCATGCATTGTTTGAATTCCCCACATGAAGATAGGTTAGGTAATTACACACAAACTTTGTGTCAATGAACCATTTTTGTGGTAATTTGTTGGCTCATTGCCTTGCTAAGATCCAAAAATGGCCCATTTTCAGCTATGTCCTGTTAATGATGTCACTAGATCCTTAGGAAGAGAAACCAGCCACATGACAGATTCTCCAATGTAATTAAGCATGAGGTGCTTTAATGTCTATTCATCCTTTGGTTCACTCCTTGAATGTTGCTAAAGAAAAGCTTAATCTTAGTTTAATTTCCACAATGGACGAGTTTCTAATATAAAACCTGATGTCCATGTTTGTGATGGTAGGGCAGACAAAGATTTCCTGCCACAGATCTTAAACAAGCAGTTGGCATGTTGCTTTGAAGATATTTTATTTATCAGGGTGAACATATACCTGGTCCATGTTCTCCTTCTCATTTTGGAGACTTTCTGACAGTTCTTGGTGTAAAAACCATCCAGGCTGATGATCATTTAAAAACGTAGAAAGTTGTAAAGCAAACATGATGTTCACTTTGAACTGTGTGCATTCGGTCCAGGCTTAGGGGTGCAGAGTTTCAAAGGGAACATGTACAACCTGCGCCTGTGGAACCGAGCCATGACGGTCCAGGAGCTGAGCGGCTTGACCTGCGACATGGTGGGGAACGTCATCGACTGGGACAACAGCCAGTGGACCATCTCGTCCTCTCTTGCTCAGACTGACAACACACTTAGCTGCAGTGAGTAAACTTTATCATCTTCATCTGGTTTTGGATGGTGGGCATGACAACGCTAAAAAGTAGCTAAAGATGAATGTCAAGAGCTGTGTGTTAGGTTTGAAGTAAATCACATTCATTTTTAAATATAAATATCAACAATAGCTGGTAGGGATTGCTCAGTATAACTACAACTAAACTGTTAAAGTGGACTTGTGCAATAAAAGACTTGATTTGAACCTGATCAAACTGGGCCCTAAAAGGATTGTGTGTTAACTTGTACTTTGGAGAAATGACTTGCAAACATCTCTGGTGATGGGGAGCCCACCACATGGAGAGCTGCTCTGTAAAAACTATGTTGTATTGAAAACAATATTGACCTTTGAGTGGCAGAACCTTCTAATGGCTTCATATTTTTGTGCATCTGCTGTATTTTTATGCAGAACATAGATGCCCAAATTTGGTCCTCCAGAGCTACTTTTGCACTATGTTTGGATTCCTTGACCAAAAATAAACGGCTGAAGGGGTCAAATGTCAATTCCTTCAGGCAAAGTCCAACTTCCTCTGAGCCATGGAGCTGCACAAATTATCAGGCCTTGTAAACAAAATCATATAGTCTATCAACATATTTTCAGTTTCTTCTATTTGATGATTTTCTTAACACAGAGCAATTTTATATGAGAAACTGGAGCACAGTATTTAAGACTTCCCAATGCAGTGAGAGGAGCAGTGGACCTTTACATGCAGAATGTCTTATAGAATAACAAGCAAGAGAAAATGGACTGTGAGCCAAACAGGAGACAACATGGAAGTAATGGTTCAACCTTGAGGCAGGATCCAAAGCGATGTGGTATCAGGTCAATCACCAGGTCCAAATGCAGAACATTGGATTGTATCAAACAGGAACTCAAAGTGTTAAACTATTCAGGCTGTTGGATATTCTGCCAAATCCTGCTACATTCTGCCTTCAGATGGTGAGTTAATGGTTTCCAGTAAGCTGGCTGGCTGAGGACCAGACTTCACTTTGAGTCTGGGTTTGTTTGGCTCAGTTGGAGAAGTTCTCCCACAGTTCCCAACATGAACTATGGAGCGGTTCAAGGGGGACACGGTGTGCTGATTTATTCACTCTTTCACTGTATTCTGTACCCACAGTAGCAGTAAAATGTATTATGCACACAGACACATCCAGAGAAGCACTTGTACAAGCCAAGGTGTGGGTTTATAGAGAACTGTGAATGAGTGTGGAGCCTCAGTGGGCTTTTTCTCCAGCCAGCTGTGTATGCAGGAAAGAACGGGGCTCCGTGTTTATGGAGCAGTTCTGGACGTCTCCATCGTGAGATTCTACATTGTCCTGCACACCCTTTAACTTTCATTTAAATACAGGAAAACACCAGAATATACAAGCAAACTTGAAGGTAATTTTCTCCTAACTTCCACATGTTTGTAATTTCACAAGGTGCTGACAGAGCTTCATTCCTCGGGTTCCCAAATCACCCTCTGCTTGTTCTGGTTTTCCTCGTGCCCTCCACCCAGCTGGCTTGTTTGAGCTGTTAAAGCTCTGCTAGCATCTGATTTAACTCTTCATGTTTGACCTGTCCATGCTGTTAGTTAATGGGGAGCACAGGTTGTTGTCCAGGCAAGTTTTTATGTTTTTTACTTGAGGACACGCCTCTGATCTTGACTCTAGACGTCGTATCAGGTC